TTTTTTTATTTCTCAATTATTATAATTGGACGTGACAAACATTTTATTTTCTAGAAATAAAACGGTGATCACTTTACCAATGTAGGTATAAAAATTATGGAAAGATATATAAGTTGTTTCTTTATATTTTTCTTTAAATAAATTTTGTTTTAAATAATTTGATATAATACCTTATCATCACCATATTTTAAAGAAGCTTATTGCAAACATTTGACAGCATATATAATAACTTGGACTTTGTAGACAATAAATATCTTTAAAAATGCATATTAACATCATGTTAGAAAAACTATCTCTACCGAAATGTTAGATATTTGCCAATATTTTTGGCATTATAGTCGTGTTAACTAAAACATCTCACCAAAATTCAAAATACCACCGAGCCGACATTTTTCAGAAATAACTTGCATAAATAAAAAGAGCTTTTTCCATTTGAAACATTTAGAAAACAAAAAAAAATCCATAAAATGATTATGTATGCTGTCAAATTTTTTTAAATACGTATTTTTGCAATATAGATATAATGAAATAACTTTAAAAAAAAAAAACAAAAACAAAAGGAAAAGAAGCTGGAGTTTTCAGATTAGAAATGAATATATCTGAATGTATTGGACATGATTCAGGGAAACATCTTCCAAATGTCTTCCAAATAGCTTCACATGTATTCTATTACATTTCCTCTTTACTGATTAAAAAAAAAATGTTGGGGGTGGGTCAGCATAAGTAGGACAAGTGTGGATTTATTATGTGTGTATCTTTTGCCTATATATTCAAATTATACGTATGTTTTTTTTGTATGTGCTCATTTTATCTGTGTTTTTTTACTATATGTTTCTGTATGTGGACAAATTTATATATGTGTGTATTTATATGCATGTGTATAATTTTTATTATATGTATGTGTGTATAATCTCTATTATATGTGTGTATTTATATGTATGTGTGTAATTTCTGAAGATGTTTTTTTCTGCGTACTCACTTTATATGTGTGTATGTTTATTCTTACTATATTTATGTTTCTGTATCTATAATGTGTTTGTGTATTTATATTACATGTATTTATAAGTATGTGTGTAATTTCTAAAGAATTAATGGATTTTTATTTTTTATTCAACGTATTTTTAGTCCTACAAAACTTCAGGTGAGTAGACAAAATAAACACGGTTTCAAAAATGAGGTTTTTTACTCAAATATGGCTATCCTCCAAAAATAATGTTTGAGGTAACAAAAATGTGTGTGTATTTGCATCATATGAGATGATTTTTTATGTGTGGATTTGTTATACAGGTATTAATGTATTTATTTATTATGCATATTAATTTTTATTATGCTTGTGCATTTATAAGTGTGTATTTTTAATTGTACATGTGTGTATGTGTATATTATGCATATTATATGTATGTATTCAGATTACACACGTGTGTGTGCATTTTTATTATGTATGTATATTTTCATTATATACATGTATTTATATTATACAAGTGTGTGTAATTATTATGTATGTATTTATGTGCCTATATTATACATGTATGTGGATTTATTACACCTCTGTGTAAATTATGTGTGTATTTATATGTTTGCACTTCTATTATAGATGTGTATTTATATTATGTCTATGTATTTTTATTTTATATAAGTTTATATATTTATGTTTATTTATATTATGTGTGTATCTATGACGTGCACTTATATTTTTGTGTGTATGTATATATTATAAATGTTTTACGTGTGTGTATTTATATTATATGAATCTATAGTTATTATATGTATACATATGCATATTATACATATGTATATTTATTACATGTGTTAATTTATGTGTGTATTTAATTATGTGTAATTATATTGCATGAATTCATATTATACGTGTATGCATGTGTATATTTGAAATATATATATATATGTGTGTGTGTTTCTTTATTATATTGTGTCTATTTATATTATGCCTCTGTGTGTGTTTGTAATATTTCTGTCTACTTACTGTTTACTATATCTAAGGTGAGTTAAAAATTGATCTCCCAAAATTGAAATTAAAATATAGATATCTGTGTGTATGCAAATTTGAAAAGCATAAGATAACACCCTAAAATTTATACTAGCCAAGTTGTTGATGAAAAAAGGGAAAAAACAATATATATATATATATATATGTGTGTGTGTGTGTGTGTGTGTAAACAGTTTGAGAATATGAACCTGAGATGGAAGGGATACCTCATTTTATAAATAAAAAACGTTTATGGACTCAGGTCAGGGTCTCGTCAATTTGAGTTCTTTTTTTTTTTTTTTTCATTCTTTTTTAACATTTTTATCACAAGAGGCTGTTTTGTCTGTCTTTTCAATTTCAATGTGTTCCTGGCTTTTTGAGCAGGTCCAAATTCTTGGCACATATGCTGCCAGAAACTGAAGTTGATTTCAAGATTAAAAAAAAAACGTATATGGTGGCAACTGGTGTGTACAAATTAAATGTCCTTGTATATACACATACTCAATAAATATATATATATATATATATATATATATATATATATATATATATATATATGTATGATATACAGCCATAGATATGAGTTTGTGTATATACAAGTGAGTGTGTGTGTGTGCACGCACACGGGTTGTAATATACAAGTAAACATACTTATCTCCCACCTTCATTAAATTGGAACTTGTTTATTGTCACGGGAATCCTTCCATGCTGAGCAAGCAGTCTATAGTTATGACGTCCAAAATAGGTATTTGCTAAATTTGGTGGTTCACATGCAAACACACTTTCACATACATATTTAAACACAAACACACTCACAAATATACATGTGTGTGAGCATATATATATATATATATATATATATATATATATATATATATATATGAGGAAAGTCGGAGGAGAATCCAACAAACTGGGAAATATTTAAGGCAATTTGGAAAAAAAATTACCCTGACATTATTTGGTGATGATCTGTTGTCTTAATTACCCAACTTGAAAGAAATTTAGCTAATCTCAAAAAATTATCACAAACACTTCAAAAACAGTTAAAAATTTAATTCAGAGATAACCTGATATCAGAAGCAGGAATTTACCAAACAATACCCCCCCACCAAAAAAAATACATCAGTAAAACATCCCAAAATTTAAAGTAAAGACAATAAGAACATAAAAAGGATTTGAAATTAAACAACACTCAATACCCTTGTATGCCATAATTTTGAGTTGGAAAATGTGGTTTTAAGAAAATGTGAATATAATTTATTCAATGATGCATTGCAAATGCGATGAGCTGTACATCTCCTATGTTTAATAGATGTTTAATGTGTAGGGCTATTAGAAATATATCCCCTTTTTTTACTAGATGAGCACTGAAACAATGTGGGATACTTAAACCATAAAAAAAAATCAACTGGAATTAGTTACAATCTAATTTCTATCACGATAATGTTGGATAATTGAATGACAAAATGAAAAAAATCCAAAAATCGAGTACTGCACTTTTCAGTCTTGGTAAAATCCAAAAGCGTCTACACAACCTTGCAGGTGATGAACTGTTTTCCACCTGACAACACTTTCCCCACAGACGCAACATTGCATGCCTCTTGCTACTCTATTGCTATTTCCAGGGAAATGTTCAGACGTGCTATATTCCTTAGTTTCCCCCAAGACCCACCATGCTGTGTACAATGAGGCAAACCACTCTTACTCACTTCATATTCCATTAGTAAGGAGTAAGTTCCACTCAGATAGCTTCTTCCCAAGAGCAGTTACTTTGTGGAACAGAATTCCTGCAGGATACTTTCCTGATCACTATAATCTTAACACCTTCAAGTCTAAAGTTGACAATTATCTTTTATACATGTCCTCATAAACTGCCCACCCATGTCACTATTACTGTTCACAAAATGACCACCTTCAGTAACCTTCTACTTTGAGTAGTCCTTGGATCTTGTTTTGGGGAGAACATAAAAACAAAAACAAAAAATTTTCATCCTTCAAACAGCCTTTTTCAGGCTCAATAATGTTTTTATGTATATGAATTTCTTTTTTATCAATAAAAACATTATTTAGGTTGAAGATGTCCTTTTAAAAGAGAAAATGCATTATAAAGCATTTTCCCATTTTGTCATTCAATTATTCACCATTAGCCTGATATATAAAATTTATATATTATATTCCCCAATGATATGGTTAAATTAATAATCAAATATTTCAGAAATTTTTTCTCTCAATAATGTAGAAATAAAAGTCTTTTTCTGATGACACCTGATCATAGGTGAAATATATGATGGTAATTGTCTATATATATATATATATATATATATATATATATATATATATATATATATTAGGAATATCTATGAGAAAAAAAAAAAAATTTCCATGTGACGGGTTTCATTCTTTAGGACTTCATCAGATTAAAGTGATCTTTACATTGATATGAATACATATGTGCATGAATGAGATGGGATGCTGAAATTTTAAATATCCCACATTGTGATAATAGAAGATCTGCCAAGAAAAGTAAAATCTTGTAAGAACCTGAACATAAATTTACTGTGGATGATCTAGCGATTAAAGCACTTTCTATACAGTTTTGTCTTAGTAAGTTGCTTTGTCTTTTAATTAAAGTAGCATTTTTAAAAATCAAAATCATGGTCAATCACATCATGAGCAACTAATGTATCTAATGTGTTGTTTTGTAAAAGATCCCTTTCGTGTTCACATAATCTTTCATTTAAATTCCTTGAGGTTTCTCCTATGTATTCCTTGTGGCAATTATTACAGGTGATAGAGTAAAGGACAAAATGCATCACATTAAAAATTTATCCCACTTTGTCATAGATTTTCCTAAAATTGTCCTGATATATAAAAATTTATATATCGCTTTCCCATATATATATATATATATATATATATATATGCGCATCCACACACAATTATATTTCATGATATTTGCTGCCTGTACATATGTATTGTATCTTTCAATGTATGTGTTTAAGTAAATTTTCTAAAACTATTTTGAAAGCTGTAGGGCACTGAAAAAAAAAAAAAAAAAAGAAAGAAAAAAAAAGAAAGAAAAAAAAGAAAGAAAAAAAAAGAAAGAGGAAAAGCTGGGGTTTGTGGAAGCAACAATGGTGAACAAGCAGCCATTTAAGGAGCCCTGTGTGGTTGTGTTGAGTAAATACCTATGAAGAAAGAGATGCATAGAGAGCTTGCATTATCTGCCTTCGTTTGCACACTTGTTCATTTTAAGTGCACACCTTTCATTTAGGCTTTCATATGTAGGTGTGTATAGGCTTAAACTTGCACTGATGGCATATGCACATGCACCTTTCACACATACTGCGGATCAGTGCAAGTTGGGTCATTTTGTTGGTCATATGGATCAATTTCCCATTCTGTATTTTGCATGATAAATTTAACAAACAGTTTGTAAATAGTGTGCTTAGCCTTAATTTCCACTGTCATAGCCACAAAAAATGAAATAAAGAACATCACTCCAGATGATAGGGTGATCACCTCCTCTGTGGTCAGTTTGGCTTTGGTCTTAGAAGTCTTTGGAACTTGTCCATTGTCTGAGAGGAAGCACATCACTGTGGCAACAGCACACGAGATCATTATCAATAAGTTGATAAAGAACACAGTGTGTAAACATTTGTCTTTGCCACTGACTCGTGGCCACTGCCAGTGTCGCCTCTGAAAAAAAAACAAAAAAATAATAATAAATAAAGCTTTCTATTTTTTGTTATTTATCATGCCTTCATGGACATCTTAATAGAACATCATGAAAAATACCCATTCAACAAATTAAGAAAAAAAAAAAAAAAAAACACAAAAAAAAAAAACTATAAAATACTGAATATTGTTAAAAAAAGACTTCAAAATACTGAATATCATTTTAAAAAAAAAAAATCATCAAAATCACCTTTCAGTTATATAAAATTGCTTCAAAAGTTATGTTAACATCTAAAAAATACTTATGGGAAACATTTTTAAAAAATTTAAATTAAAAAATATAAATATATACATAATCAAAAAATTCTTACATTGGCTACACATGCACCACACTCTCCTGTAGGTTAACTACTCCTTTGTCAAAACGTATATTAACATAAGACAAATATTAGTAGATAATATGAAAATACTATATTGCATTCACTGCAATAAAAGACTCAAAATATTCAAAGGTATTATTATGCAAAAAGAAACAAAGCACATTAAATACCTTTCACCATGGAAATGTAGAAAATTTTAAACATGCAAACAAAATTGGATGATTCTTTTCCAGTGTGGCCTAGCTCTGTGTAACCATTTTACATATGTCATTTATATGGTACATGTATATTTGTATAAATTTTAATCACCCACATTTAATCTGTATTCCATTTGTAAGTAGGAAGTTCTATTCAGACAACTTTTCCCCTCAAGAACTGCTACTTTGTGAAACAAAAGCCCACCTGTTCAAGTCAAATGTTAGTCAATATCTATCCTCCTTATCCTAATAATCTTCACTTTCTTCTATCTCATTTTACGTTCATATCATACACCTTGTTCAGCAACCCTCTACCAGGGATGGCTCTTGAGCCTTGTATTAGGTGAACCTTAATATTTTTAAAAAACAAAAATACTAGCATGACACCAGCAAAATCTTCTCTGTCATACATGCACAATAAAAACCAGAACAATTTTTGCATAAAGACCCACATATATGTTGATACACTCTCATAAATAGCTGTAAAATAATATCAGTTGAAATTTCTAGGATGCATAATAAAGAACAAGGCTTGGAGAATTTAACACTCACAGGCAAAAAAATATAGAAAATAAACCCTATTTCTAACACAATTATATACTCACATACGATGTAATTATATACACAATTATTATATACTCCTATATAATATATACACAATTATATATTCCTATATAATATATACACATTTATATATTCACATACTTACTATATTGAAACATGCTTAAACTTTATTTTCTAACCAATAACAGACAATATTTACAAACATGCCAAAGATTCCACAATACAACAGATAGAGTTTAAAATCAAAGTGTCTATTGGTTAAAAATTAACATCACCGTGTGAAATATTTGACCTTTCTTTTTATGTGCCAAGTCCTTTCAGGATGTAGGCGATCATGGCTCTCCACCTCTTCCTCTATCCCTTGCAGCTCTCTTTCTTCTCTCTGCTACTTCTCCCAAACTACGTTCTGTCACCCACTTGCTTAAGCCTGTCAGGTATGTCACGTGTTGTTTTCCTTTGTCTCTCTTTCTCCTTATTCAACCCATAATTATCAGATTCTCCTCATTATGTGTCCCAGAAACTTCAGCTGCCTTTTCCTGATGGCAAGTATAAACCTCCTCCTTATTTGCACCAAACAGAGGAAACTAAAACCCTATTTTTCTTGAGCCTACTTTCGGGAAAAATCTTATAAAAGCCATAGATTTCAACTTTCAGCAAGAAGAGATGTGATGCTCTTCAATCTGTTCAAACACAAAAGATTTGGTTACATAGCTTTTTTTTCTTCCACACCAATACATGCTGTAAGAAAAGTGTTAGTGACTTCAAATGAATCATCTTCAACAACAACAGTAGAGACAGTGAATCTTCATGGAAGATAACTCTTTTCTAAACCACAGATTTTTCTGTGGACCAACTACCCAAAGAATTTAACTCAACTAAAGACTATTTTTATTCCTATTCAACTCCTTTGAATTCATGTTCATATGTTTGTAAACACAAATGATTTATTCAACAGGCATATCCAGGTTTTATTTATTATTATTTTATTTGTAGTGATACTAGCAAATTAATATGCATAATTTGCATAAGCACAAGTGAACACTCATATAAGTGGTCACTGAGAATAACGAAGTAGTAAAATGAGCTTAGCGGCTGATTAGTGCTAACCTTTACATCACAATATTATTGTTGTTTGAAATTTGGATGTTTGGATTTTTATTATAAAAAAAAATGGACTTCCTATGAGTAACCTACCTAATGAGCTTGTGTAAGTGGATGGCAGTACAGGGAGTGTAAGTGGATGGCAGCACAGGGAGTGTAAGTGGATGGCAGTACAGGAAGTGGAAGGGATAGTAAAAAGACAAACATTGCTTAGAGTCATGATCATCAATGTCCAAGGAGCATATTTTTAATCATTTCACTCCAAGCAGAGCAATAATGCCACTAGGATGCATAGGAATTACTGAGTTAAGTGAAAGAGAATGAGAAGACTTTAGTGAAGAGAAAAGACAATGAAAGAACAGATTTCAGGTAGACTGAAGATGGTAATTGGCATTGCCTTTAAATTTTTGAAGATTGTAGGTAGCAGGGAAGAAAAAATCAGAAGGAAGTTCCACAGGTGAGGAAAAAAATTATTAGAATAGAACTGATGGCTGCATTTAGCTAGTTCAACAATAAAACCATGAGATGTAGTTGCCAATCTAGTAGCGCACTTAAATTTATGTAACCGGGGCACCAGGGGAGAAAAGTTTATCAGAACAGATGCCATGAAAACATTTGTAGAAAAGACAGAGAGAAACTATATCACATCAGTGAGAAAGTGACTGAAGTTGAGATGCCAGGTTAGGGTCGATAACATTACAGACCCTTGATTGAATTATGTTAAGAATATAGAGATATATAGTAAGAGCACTAGACCAGATATGACAGTAATATTCAATGCACTGACAATTTATAAATGTGTAAGAAGGATACTGGCATTATTTACATTAAGGCAGTGGAGAACTTTCAGAGGGAAAATTAGCAGGAGATAACTGATAACTGACATCCGTCAAACATGGCACGTAGAACTAAAACAGTCTACTCCAGTGATCGAAATAAAGGGTTCAGTTCGAAATTCCAACCACCTGAAGAAGGCCGGAGCGTACAACAGCCGAAATGTTGTGATAAATATGGCGACAAAGATAAGGACAATAGTCCGAATAATGTAAATAATGTACATAATACCTCATCTCAGAAATATAGACAGACTCTGAAGGATACTGGTGATAAGAGTTGTCTGATATCACATGGTGAACCAATTTTCCTAGCAGTAGACATAACAATTGATTCAATGTAATCACTCCACCTCATGGCAGTGAAAAATATTCAAGGCACAAAGAGCTACTCTTCTTCTTCAGGTTAGCATCAGCCATATAAGATTATAAAGGAGATCAGTCAATAATCAGTAGTATTATTATCTTTATGGCATCAACCCTGAATCCATCATAAAGATTCAGATTATGGAATTAATAAATTCTAAATACTTCAAATACTTGGTGTATGGATTAGTTGTAACAAATTTAACAAAGATGATAATGAAGTTGAACATAGAATAGGCTGTGCGAGAAGCAGTTTTGTTTGACACTGCAGGATGTTACAAAAATTTTAATTTAAAAACTTAAGTTGTGTTTATAAATAACCTCAAGCAAATGGGTGCTACAGAAACACTTTACTAAATCATAAATAAATTAATGACTTGAAGACTTCCAATAGCGGCAACAACTAAAATGAACAGCACATGTAACAAGAAAGGAAAATAATTATACAGTTAAAATGTTGACCTTTCATAATACTTTAAACAAAAGGTCAGGAAGGAAACTCCCATCATTACTGCAAAGAGCGATAACAGTAGATATGAGAAACCTATTTTCTTGAAAAACTGATTTAAGGGAAAGATTTTATAATTTTTAAGTGAGAGTAATGCTAACTGCTTGGTCAATGAATGCTAAATGTTTACATATAAGGAAACAGTTAATCTCACCATTATGATTACAATTATTGTTATCATCAAGGGAGCAATCAGTATGTTGAAAAAGTGATGCTAGGGTAGAAATATTACAAAGCCAAATATACCCTTGATGGTATCCAGTCTGATAAGGATATACCAGGCACATACATCACAGCCAAATGTGTGTGATATGGTAACTGGTTTTGATAAAAGCAGCACATAACCTTACAGGTGATGCTTGGTCAAAAATACCTTTGGGTTGGGCAAACTGTTTGGAAGCCATTGATGCACAAGCATCCAAACAATTTTGTCTACCCAATTTCACACACAAGGCTTGAATCAACCTGTAGTATTCAGACACTTCCCATCATAGTTGATATTATCAACAATTCACCTCCTTGACAAATTTAGAATAAAGAGAATGTTTATGAATAAAGAGAATGTTTAGAATATAACAAGATTTGAACCTCCGTCTCATGGTCAGAATGTTCATGTTTTAACCAATTGACTACAAATAGAAACTTTCATGAAATCAGAGAGAAAAACAACATTCCCTCTATTCTTGAATATTCTAAACATTCCCTCTATTCTTCAATATTCTAAACATTCCCTCTATTCTTGAATATTCTAAACATTCCCTCTATTCTTCAATATTCTAAACATTCCCTCTATTCTTCAATATTCTAAACATTCCCTCTATTCTTCAATATTCTAAACATTCCCTCTATTCTTCAATATTCTAAACATTCCCTCTATTCTTCAATATTCTAAACATTCCCTCTATTCTTCAATATTCTAAACATTCCCTCTATTCTTCAATCTTCAATATTCTAAACATTCCCTCTATTCTTCAATATTCTAAACATTCCTCTATTCTTCAATATTCTAAACAATTCTTATTCTAAACATTCCCTCTATTCTTCAATACTATTCTTCAATATTCTAAACATTCCTCTATTCTTCAATATTCTAAACATTCCCTCTATTCTTCAATATTCTAAACATTCCCTCATTCTTCAATATTCTAAACATTCCCTCTATTCTTCTTAAAATATTCTTCAAATTCTAAACATTCCTCTATTCTTCAAATATTCTATTCTTCAATAAAAATTTCCTCTATTCAATATTCTAAAATATTCTTCAAACATTCCCTCTATTCTTCAATATTCTAAACAATTCTTCAATATTCTAAACATTCCCTCTATTCTTCAATATTCTAAACATTCCCTCTATTCTTCAATATTCTAAACATTCCCTCTATTCTTCAATATTCTAAACATTCCCTCTATTCTTCAATATTCTAAACATTCCCTCTATTCTTCAATATTCTAAACATTCCTCTATTCTTCAATATTCTAAAAACATTTAAACCCTCTATTCTTCAATATTCTAAACATTCCCTCTATTCTTCAAATTCTAAACATTCCCTCTATTCTTCAATATTCTAAAATATTCTAAACATTCCTATTCTTCAATCTTCTAAAATATTCTTCAATATTCTAAACATTCCCTCTATTCTTCAATATTCTAAAATTTCCCTATTAAACATTCCCTCTATTCTTCAATATTCTATTCTTCAATATTCTAAACATTCCCTCTATTCTTCAATATTCTAAACATTCTAAACATTCCTCTATTCTTCAATATTCTAAACATTTCTCTATTCTTCAATATTCTCTATTTAAACATTCCTCTATTCTTCAATATTCTAAACATTCCCTCTATTCTTCAATATTCTAAACATTCCCTCTATTCTTCAATATTCTAAACATTCCTCTATTCTTCAATATTCTAAAATTCCCTCTATTCTTAAATATTCTAAACATTCCCTAATTCTATTCTTCAATATTCTATTCTTAAACATTCCCTCTATTCTTCAATATTCTAAACATTCCTCTATTCTTCAATATTCTAAACATTCCCCTTCTATTCTAAAATCTCTATTCTAAACTAATTCCCTCTATTCTTCAAATTCTATCTATTCTTCAAACATTCCTCTATTCTTCAATATTCTAAACATTCCCTCTATTCTTCAATATTCTAAACATTCCTCTATTCTTGAAATTCTTATTCCTCTATTCTTCAATATTCTAAACATTCCCTCTATTCTTCAAATAAAATTCCCTCTATTCTTCAATATTCTAAACAATATTCTTGAATATTCTAAACATTCCTTATTTGAATATTCTAAAAATTCTTGAATATTCTAAACATTCCCTCTATTCTAAACATTATCTCTATTCTTAAATATTCTCTAATTCTAAATATTCTCTATTCTTAATAAATTATTGGAGCTAAATAAAATAAGGAATATGTTTCCTTATTTGAAATTGTCTGGCTTAAAAAAGAGACAAAATCTAATTATTTAAAGTTTGCTAACCTATGAGAATGTTCTTATTTATTTCAAATTGAATGAAACAAGAGAAAAGATTTCTTTATATCAATGTGTCTGAGTTAAACACGAGGCTTATTTTTTTTTAAATTGTTTAGATTAAACAAGGAACAAGGTTTCCCAATTTCAAACTGACTGAGTCAAACAAGAGTCAGAGCTTCCTTATTTAAAATTGACTCTTTCAAACAAGGAACAATGTTTCCTTGTTTCAAATTGTCTGGGTCAAAGAAGGGACAAGATTTCCTTATTTCAAATTGACTGTATCAAACAAAAGACATGGCTTCCTTATTCCAAAATGTTTGGGTCAAACAAAGGGTAAAATTCTGTCATTTTGATTTGTTTGAAGATAAAGTGAAGGATTCTTTATTAATTCTCTGAGTGAAATAAGGACAATTGTTTTTCTTGAAACAAACTGTTTGGCCACTTACAATAAAATGAAGAAAGATGGGAAGAAAGACTCGAGCATGAATGCAACCATAAATTCTTACTAGTCATTTTAGGATTTTTTTTTCTGGTTAAATCTACATCAGCCTAGCATTACTTAGTTGTCCAGGTGTCTCCCTTTAGTAACTGTGTTAACAAATATTAAATGTGTCCTTTGATCATGCCATCCATGACTGTCTTTCATTAAGCAATTTGGCTTAACCAGTGCTTCCAGGTACACATCCACTATTTCTAATCTAAATTCCTTTGGGCCAGCTGTATTTTGGTTTTCAGACCTTTTCGGATTATAGAATAACTATGGTCAGCACAAAAAAAAGTAATAAAAACATGACTGACACAAAATAATGCCACACTTCATGGAAAAATACACTAGTAAGTAATGTAGCATTGGGATAATTATATTCCATAAACGTATGCAGTAGGGAAATTTATTTCTAAAAAGAACATTAGGCAAAACTTAGTCATCTGACTGCCATTGGTGCATGCATCCACTTGGAAGCTGTCACACTCTACTACATCTCAAGTCTCTTATGTCATACTACACTAGCTTTTATTGTGACAATGTTATAGTAGGAGGATTATTGGTGTCACTATTACCATGAAGGACCTGGCTGTCTAATGTTGACTCCCATGATGACATTGCATTCCTATGATGAAACTTTCTTCTTTGTAAACATTTCAGTAAGTGTCATCTGCTTCATCAACTTCAATTTCTCGGTCAGCAATATCTCTTTAACTGTATAAACTGACACAATTTCCTGCTCACAGATATATTTGCACTGGTCAAGCCCAGTAATTAACTGGTCACACATTTTTACCAGATCGTGTATATTTTTCACCAGTGTTTACATCATTACTACTGTTGTTCTTTTCTCTATTTAACAGCATGTTAATAACGGCTTGCTGGACCAACTGGACCATCTATACTGCTACAGTGGGCTCCAGGCTCTAAAAATTTGTTTTGGAATATCACTGTTTAGTCCTCTTTTTTTTTTGGAGACAGGTGGCAAATCTATTTTCACAGCTGATCTCCCAAGAATAGATTAAAAAAATCTGTTTGGGGTTTAATCAAACAAGATGGTTTAAATTTACAACTGAGAATAACAAATTGCAATGTATTCTATGGCTTGAGATGGGGGTAAATTTATACACAGAATAGCAAATTAGATGCCAGAGAAATGGACATAGTATTTCTTTTAAAGAAATAAACTATGATAAAAAGGCACAGATTTGAAAAACAACTTAGGATAAATATTCAGTAAAATCTCACCTTGAAACGTTTGTGTCTGTGAAATTCATAATGACATAGTTCACATCTTGGTGGTTTCTTGGACTTTTTTGTAGAGATTTCAATCCATTTCTGAAGAGAAAAATGCTTATAATTTATTATCAATATATATATATATATATATATATATATATATGTACAGGTTGTGATGGATAAATTGTCATCTAAATTATGCAAAAATAAAAATAACACTGACATATATTAGCAGATATATTTACCAAAATTACACAAAGAATAAATTTATTCAATAAAAAAAAAAAAAAAAAAAAATCGCTATTAGTTTCAACCACAGCCTCCAGACAACTTTGGAATCTCCTGCAACACTTCTGGATGGTCTCCTTGTTCAAGTTGGTGAATGCTACCATAATCTTTGCCTTCAGTTCATTTTTGGTGTTACAAGATTTGTTGGTCTCTCACTTAACTGTGTCCCACTAATAATCAAGGGGGTTGCAGTCTGGAGATTTAGGTGACCAGATGTAAGGGGTGATGTGATCACAGAAATTATTTGACAGCCATGACTGGGTTATCATGCTTATATGACAAGGTGCAGAGTCCTGTTGCCAGACAGGGTCTTCCAGGATCCATCCTCTTGACCAGGGTAGCACTACCACTTCAAAGCTCTTGATGTAGGCCTCCATGTTGAGTCTGAAGCTCTCAGCAACAAATTTGGGAGTTATTTCCTAGAATGATCAGTGTGAGTTTTCTTTGTAATCACCATTAGAATCATCCAACTCTTTCCAAATTCTCTGCACTGTCTTCAGAGTGACACCCAAACACTCTGAAATGTTTGTATTGGAACTTCCGGTGCAAATACAAAGCAGTACAGCATGCTGTTTTCAAATTTCTGGTGTAGTGAATTGCGTCATAGTGCTCTTTTTCTCATAGATGGTGTCTAACTGATCCTACTATACTGTTCAATTGATAAAATCAAAATAAAAAACAAACAAGATGCATGTGTGAAATTAAAAATATAAAATATCGACAATTTACCCATTGCACACTGTATATATAATAATATAGTTGTATGGTATGCTATATTTAACAGTTTCTGTATCAATGATAGAGTGCATGTAAATATAAAAGGGGACACCGAGATCAACTCCAAGTGGAGACAGTGTTTCATGTTGACAGACTTTAACATGCCTGAAGATTGCATTCAAGAATGAAACAGATTGCAGCTACTTAGGGTTGACCTCAATGTCTACTTACATATATAAAATAATATAAATAATAATTACATGACCAAAAAAAAAAATTCAACATTTACTCACTTTGTTTACTAGACATTAAATTACATCACTTAGCATCTTCCATAATTTACCTTGACTTTCAATTAGCTTGGCATTCTTAAATTTAAAGATTGTGAAAAACTAACATTTTTACTTCTGTTTATAAAAATTTGTTGCAAAATAAAAATTTTTATATTTGCTTTGATAAAGTCTATTAGACGACAAAATGTGTCGGCTAAAATAAGTTTTCCTTTTGGTTTTATTCATATATATATCCTAGTTTATGCTTTTCATCCTCTGAGAGACTTTATCAAGGCAAATGCAAGGATTTTGTTTTGTAACCAGTATTTATATACAAGAGCAAAAATTTATTGGTTTTTCAAAATTTTAAAATTTAAGGATGCTGATAAATATTCATCAAGTTAGCTAAAAAGTCAGGCAGGCTATGGATATAGTATTCTTTAAACTTTAATAATTCAAATTTAAAATATATGACATCACATTTTTTCTTTAAGCAATAATTCAATTTTTAACACTTCTAATTTACAACAAAATAGGCAAATTATATCCTGATTCTGATAATTTGGAGAACAAACAGATGATTTTTAGTTAAGCAGTGTCAAGCCTGGTCAGTACCAAGATGGGTGACCACTTAGAAATACCAGGTGCTGTAAACTTGGATGTATGTGTAGTATAAAGGGCTTGTAGTGTAATAGATAATGGCTTAGAATTTTTAATTGGAGAGCTGAGTTCCAATTTCCATTGTATTCATTATATTCACATGTGTAAATACCCATAGAAAAGGGAAATGAATCCACATCTTCTCCACATGTTATGGGTTAATTAGTAAGACTTGTATCACTAAACCATTATTATCTAAAAAAAAAAAAAAAAAATCTTCCAACAATCTAAAAGAATTGTTTTGGCTTTAAATAACCTGCAAAGGGTTGATATGTCGCGGAAAATGAATGAATCAATCAGTCGATTGTAAATATGCATATGGAAAGTCTCTGACAGATCAATAATTATTTTTATTGATTAGAAATAATTGGCCTTGTAGATTTTAGGTTCAATGTTTATACTTATGTTGTATTATATTGTATTTATTAACCAATATAAAAAGGTGTCTTTTTGAGAACATTGGCTTATAGCCGTATCTCATTGAAAAGACTGATTCTCATATGACCACTGAAGTTGAGCAATGTCAAGCCTGGTCAGTACCTGGATGGGTGACCATCTGTGAATACCAGGTGCTGTAAGCTTGGATGTGCAGGTTGTATAATGGATAATGGTTTGAAACTGGAAATCAGGGAGCTGAGTTCCAATTCTAGATGGGTTTCTTATATTCATTCATGTGCAAATACCCTAGGAAAAGGTATGAATCCATCTGTTCCTTCCCTCAGCTATGGATTAAGTAGTAGCTATCGTATCAGTAATATCTCCAAAAAATTCTTACAATCCAAAAATATTTTCTGATTTTAAATAACCTGCAAAAGGTTGATAAGCCATAAAAAGTAAATCAAGCAGCAATCTTGAGAGAGGTATACCAAATCCTCATCTTTGTCGCCATATTTATTACGTTTCGGCCGTTGTACACTCCGGCCTTCTTCTATAAAATAGCCTTATTGATCACATGCTCTGCTTTGTTACTCAGTATTAACAGTCTAGCTTGATAACCATTACTAAAAAAAAAAAATGTGTATGTATATGGAAACAAACAATATATATTTATTTGCTATAATTATAGGGAAAAGTGCTGAATATCAGAGTATTATGTGTTTCTCTGTTAAATTTTAATCCCCCCTTCCTCTTTAGACCTTCCTGTTCTTCTCTCGTCTGTTACCCCTCCCTATAGCTTTCATTTACTCTAACATTCATGCCACACTCTCATATATACACTCTCACTAAATTTTATTTTTTTTTATTCCCAGAGTTGTTTTTTCTGTTTTCTCTTTGAATTTGTAGGTCTGATGAATTGGATCGTATTTATGATTCCAATGGAATAAATTATGACCATGGAATATTAGTGTTTAAGCCTTTTTATTATTGAGTTCTACCTGGATTCTATCATCTTGAATTATTTTTTTATACAAAATATATATGTATATATATTTATATATTTTAGATATTGATTATATTTTATATATATATGATTATATATATATATATATATATATATATAAATTTATTGTTTATTTGGGAAGCAATTCCACTTTTTTATAAATTTCATATGAGGTTTTACAAAAGGATGCTGAGGATACATTGGACTGAACATTTGAGCAACAACAAAGTTCTAGAGAAAATGGAAACAAAAAGGAAACTAATACTTCACATCAGAAAGGGGCAGTTGAAATTTCTGGGGCATATAATGAGGAAGGACGGCTTGGAAAAACTGATACTCATGTGACAGATTGAGGCCAAGAGGGACAGAGGAAAATAATATTTAGTGAACTTGAGTAAATGGATGGCAGAACAGGGCTTAGAAGAAATAACAGAAAAACAAATTTTTTTAAGAGCTATGAGGTGCAGGAAGTTGTAAAGAGCCATGATTGCCTATGTCCTGTGTGGACATGGCACATAAAAAAGAAGACAGGGTACTGTGATTAAGCACTTTATCCAATATTTTTGTGTTTGTATAAGTGTTTTCTTTTCTGGACATAAAGTGTGTAAAAACTGTCTGAATATTCTGCATATCTGAGTGCATTCAGCTATTCTGTTAGCCATTATCAAAGATTTTTTTTTTGTTTTTTTTAACTGAATATGTAGATTTCTATATATGTGTATATATAGTGATGAGAATGTGTTTTTTTTTTTTTTTTCCAAACATGGTCAGCACATTGTGGCCATATTCATAGTTGATGTTATCAAGCATTGGCTTTTTCTTTTCTATTATTAAGGCTTCCATTATTTTTTAGCATTTTTTTTTTTACATATGGATGAGGCTATAATATTAGTATTTTCTAAGTGTATGTTGTGGACAGAGTTTGGTAGGTTTCCAGGTGTGTTTAAATGAACCCTAATTGATCTATGGTCAGAGAGATATAACGCATTTAGTGGTATATCCAATATAATTATTTATGAATTTGGTTTGATCAGGAACAGAGTTCTTTAATGGGCATGTGAATTCATAAATAATATAATTATATATAATCATATTAATTTTCTTATTTTGTTTGACTGGAGTTGTGTATTTCTTTATAATATTGCTCAGGGAAAATTCATCTTGCTTTAGTGGCTGCTCCTGCTTATATCACATCACTCTTCAGTCATGAATTGAGCACTGGCTGCTGATTTGGCATTTATATACATCACATATATAATACGTTAAAAGATTCCCTTTCTCTGTTGTTTGGCGATGGCTTAGGGGTAGAGTCTCTGACTGGTGCCAAATCGGTCAAGTTTTGATCCCAGCTTGAAGCAATCAGATATCTAGTCACACTGATGAGCTGTGATACAGTGAAACAGGCTTGAGTGACTATTACTGTTGCAAGACTTTTCATTAAGATGAATTGAGATCTCTGGTCACTGCACATTTGTCTAAAAATAAATATGTCTAAATTCACCTTCATCCCAGTCATGCAACAATGGCTTAGGGGTAAAATCTCTGACTGATACCAAATCAGTCGGTTTTTGATCCAGTCTTGAGGCAATTGGATGTCTAGCCACACTGATGAGCTTTGAAATAGTTTGTGGATGACTATATATATATTTCTTTTCTTCTTATTATGTGCCATGTCTCTTCAGAATGTTGGTGATCTTGGCTTTCCACAATTTCCTGTGCTCTTAATAAATTTTGTTTTTGTTATCTCTCCTAAACCTTTTTCTGCCATCCATTTACTCAAGCTCGACAGGTAGGTTATGCATGATTTTCCTTCATCTCTCTTGCTTTCAATCTGTCCTGTGAGTATCAAGTTCTCCAAGTCCTTTTTCCTCATTATATACCCTAGAAATTTCAACTATCTCTTTTTGGTGCTAAGTATAAGAGTCCTTTTTGTTTTCATTTTCTCTAAAACTTCATTGTTGCTAACATGTTTGGCCCATGGTATTCTCACATGTCTGCAGCCTCAAGTCACCTGTTCATCTTTGAGGAAATTCTGCAGCATTCGCTGCCAAATAGGAGAATTGATATTACATATTTAATTGATTAATTTGATTACATATAACAGTTCATCACTCTGTTTGTTTCAAATGAAAGTTTTCAGTTTCTTAATGCTTCACTTAGCTTTTGAAAGGTAGCTTTCACTATCCCAATCTGCTTTGGATTTCAGTGTCACACTGTGTCCTTTGTTAAAATGCTTCCCAGATATTTAAATTTCTGTACTTGTAAAATATTGGCTTCCAAGTCAAATGTTCAGATAAAATCCATTCTTTAGCAGCCTGATTTCCCCTACTTCCTAATATAATAATCTGTGGTGATATTTGCTTATTTGTGTCAAGTAATGTCTTCTGTCACCATAACAATAGGATATTACTAAGGAGAGATTAGACTGACAATTATATAAAGTCACATTACAAGTAGGACACACTATGCCACCTCCATAAAATTGAATCACCTTCCTTTCCTCCATATTCCAAATTTAAGGAAAAAGTTTTACTTAGCTTTCCCCCCACCAAGAACTACTATTTTTTATGTTGAACATTACAATCTTAACCTCTTCAAAAGTCAATCACCATCTATCCTCCTTACCCTCATAATTATCAGTTTCTATGATCACCTCCTCTATGAATCACAAGCATTTAAACAGTGACAATCTACCTTGAGTGGCTCTCAATCCTTGCATTAACTGAACTTTAGTATATAAAAATAACATGGCTTTTCAAATCCAAAATAGCACACAGAATAAGAGACTAAAACAATTTAAGGAGAATGTAATGAAAGTAAACCAATGTTTGCTATGCATAGATTGTTTGAAATACTAAACTTAACAATAGCAAAATTCATTATCAAGGTTACTCAATGATATTATGGTTAAAAAAATAATTAGTAATCATTGCCAATTTATTTTATTGTTATGCAAAAAATATCAGTTAATTAAACAGTGTTGGTGAAAAATGGAAAATTATGTTTTTGCTTTAGACTTTACGCACAAGTTTATATGTATTGGTTCTGAAAAAAAAAGACCTTAACTAATATAGAGTTAGGCCTTATTGGCAAGTATTTAGACAAGATAGGTCAGCCATATTGTAAAGAGTGATAGTATTAGACACATAAAGAAGTCTGTTTTTTTTGTAACATTTCTGCAGCTGTTGCATGAGTCAGAGCCATTGCACTGAAGCAAAACAGTAGACAAATTGAATTAATGGAGCATAGCCGAGAAGAATAACACTTTTTTCAGCACCTGTGGTTCAAATATTGCCAAACAACTAGAGTCAAGTAACTGAAAAATATGCACCTGATCCACCATTCCTTGATCATCTGATCCACTATTCCATGATCATCTGATTTCAAATATCAAATCATTCCTCCATTTGAGCTAAACTGTCAGGACCCCATCAGACTTGAACAAAAGTTTGTCTTACAATTTTGAGAGAGCTTACTTCCCTTGGAAGTTAGACATTTTGTTCCTACATCATCCTTTACATTCAAACTGATATCCACATTTTTGTCATGATCCCATTTTTGCAACTGTGTCTTTCAGCCTTCTTTAGGTAAGGAATTTCAAACTGAACACTTTATTTAACCATTACCATGCAGGAGGCAAAATTGTCACTATAGAATTCTCTCCCTTTGCAGCTCTAGGCACATTCTATTGTCTTGAGATGGTTGCTATAAATGAACACTTGTCAACTGTTATTTCCAGTATTTTAAGCCAGAAATCATCTACTACTACTTTGGAACGAGGTTAAACTTCTATTTTCCAACACCATTTTGATTTTTTCTAGACTACATGATGTGTAACATCGATTAAACCCACATTAATTTTTTGCAATTTTTTGTAAACAAAAATGATGGCATTAACATCCAACGAAGCCTTTATTCAAGAGTTTTTCTTTGATTTGGACTCCGATGATAATTCTGAAAGCTTTACTCAAGTGAATATTGACAGTGAAGTGGTCGAAGATCAACGCTAGTGATGTGGAGGAAAGTGATGATGACCACTAGTGGCTACTATCATCCATGGCTGACAAATTTTATGGAAGCTACTGGTGACCATCGATGTACCTGATAACTTTGCTGAAGTTGAATTATTTTGTCTATTTATAAACAACAAAATAATAACTTTATTTGTCAACGAGACAAATAAATACGAGTCAGGTGA